ATGGCTCAGCCTTGCAGACGTAGTCATTCTTGTGTAACTTGTCTCTTTTATTTATAATAAACATATTGTTATTTCTCCAGCCTAAATGTGTTCTCCACCATATATTGATGACTATTACGATAGGACGAGTCGGTGTAGTCAATGATGTGACTTCCATGTACAATCTTATAGATTGGCTAGTCACATAACAGATCTGCAATTTTAGGATTACGTTTATTATCAGAGCAGTACTAATAAGGAAGTAGACCATAATTCTACAAATCTACATCGTTTTTCCATTCATATTGTCATCCCTATTTCTCTCTGTTTTTCTTCCTCTTCTGCTGGTAAGAACTCTACTTCCGATTCCTGCTACATACTGCTTATATCTGGTTTCACAAGTAGTAATTGCCACAATACCGGTTCGTGTTGAAAAGTTTTGCTCTAATTTTTAAGCCTGAATCAAAACTCCCGTCTTACTCTTGATAACTGACTCCTTACCTTTTGCACTATGATATCACCTGGTGACGAAAGCTCTATTGGGTGATAACTCTAACTCGAAATGGCTGTCAAACTCCCAATACTCATGTATATATGAAAATTGACCTTCCTTACTTACCATTAGGGATAATTTAACTTGTGAGGTTTCATTAATACTATCCCATCTATTCTTCAACTGATATTTCAATACTTCTATCGTTAATTATTTAATACTAGGTAGTGTTCCTTTAATATCTTCGGTAGTATTCACTTTGCAAGTTACATATCATTCATTTATGTGGATATATCACATACTGCAATGTAAACATAGCATGTCGTATAGCATATTTTTGTGTTCGCTCAGCGGTTACAAAAGGCATTTTCATGAATTACCTTTGTATAGTTTGTAGTTCAGCCCTCAGTGTTCCATTACTTGCCGGTCTTTTACATAACAGGTTAAGCTGAGCTATGTCACAGGTCTGAAGCCAAATTGTGCTATGTTGGATTGGTTAGCATTAGATTCAAAAAGTTCCCTACCGTGCCTCTTATGTAAGTTTCATGTTTCTGAAGCTATTTTGAAAGTTGCAATGGTATATTCTGTTAGGCTAATTCTACGATACATGCACAATAAACCAAATCATCTATCAATGTAGGCGATATTTGGCCAATTTACTTCGTGCAGTCATGGTCTAGATTAACGAGCGGATCATGGGATTAGGCATGTAGTACAAAAGTAAGGACACCAACATGTTGCTTGTGTTATTGTTCTTCTACTATCTCCAAGACGATGCATTTCAACTCGGTTTTGCGATTTGCATGGAGAGTTTGTGCTGATGACAGTCTAAATAATACAATCTCGTTACGCCATCTAGTAGAAAATGTTATTGGTCAATAAAACTTGTAACTACTGTAAAGAGCTTGAAGAAAGTTACAAAAACACTTACGACGTGTGATGGATTTATCGTTTGGCAGTTCCTAACTCGTTTTTTTCTTTTTTTAAGGTTTGCCACAATGCCGTACATTGAAGCTGAATGTTAAAATGTTGCAGTGCACAAGAGTACCAGCAAACAAACTGGAAAGTATTAGAAGCAATTGTAGATAAATACTCCATATCTTAGTATGCCTGTAACCAATTTACTTAGATTAACAACAAAAATTGTCTTCAGTCTTGTCAACTCGGTATATGGTGTATGAACCTATTAAGAACCAACTTGGCAGAAACTATTGTTCTTTTAATATATAGGAATATTCGTCAATATCTGAACACAATTTGGGCTGCGAGTATGTAGAAGTAACCAAGGTATTCCTTAAAGCGGATCAGCAGTAACATCTAAAGGATTTACTATTGTCTAAAAAAGTGCTTTCAATAACGGTTTCGCGATTCATTTCAAAAATATTCACGAAAAGTTTTGTTGCCAGTTTATCTTTTTCATTAGCAGCCCAATACAGAAATCTGTCGATATCTAATCATTCGCGCATATAATTCTAAATTTGCCGTTCTGAAACGCAAGAAATAAAACATTACTTACCTTAGAAATTCTCAAGTATTCTAACTTATAATCACCTCAAACCCTTATCAAAATTGTGCAGTTTAGACCTCTGTAGTTTGAACATAAATTGGCAGTTCTAGTGGGAGTTTAACTTCGATATTGTATTACTTTCACAGTTGAATCCACAAATCGATCTAAGTCAGAACACCACTGAAAACCTCCGTGGTCTATAGGTTAGGCGTATGCAAGATCGTAGGTGCACGCTGTTGAGGAATATTATATCAGGAAGAAACAGTCATCTAGTGCCCCCAGGTTTCCAATGGTGATCTAGCTTAGATCGACTGGTAAACTCAACTATGGGAACATATGCATTTGAAGTAAATCGGTGGTCTTTAGAGACGCCTGGAGCGTAAACTAGCTTTAATTAAATCACACACAAGTGCCCTACCAAATAGGATTGTGTTGATAACCCTTGGTTTTTCAGCGAACACTAAACTTTGTTTGTAATTGATCGATAAAGACGATTTTCTCACCCCCTAACGCCGTAGTGCTTACTGGAAATCGCCTAAACTTATCCACGAGTTCGGGCGATTCCAGGTCAATACAACTTACTAAATTTCTAAGAGACTTACTAGCTAGCTTGCTTTACTATAATCTTTGAGGCTGTCCAGACATTCCATGAAACTGAAACTATCGTAACACTGTAGGAATTTGCATGAAACTCGTGTTTGAGGAATTTCATGTATAGAAGGAACTCGAGAATAGTGAAAGTTTCTTTCAAAGACTGTGTAACATCTTTATCACTTAGTCTCGAAATCCAGAAGCTCTGTAGGCTAACACAATTCAGGTTGCACTGATACACAAAATAATGGTAATTAAAAAGTATCTTGATAACAATCATAGCTTTGAAGAACTGAAAATAACACAAACGAAAGTGGCAAGATTGGAAAGCTAACAGTAAAATAACGTTTCTGAATGTATACAGTAATCGTATGTTTTTGTAGTCGTCCACAGACAATGTTAAATGAGAGTCTCCGTACAGACTTGCCATCAACCAGTCATCTACATATACATATACAAAGTTGAGATCTCGAAAGATGTCGTCGCTGGACCGCCGGAAAGTTTGTGTAGCATTTCTTAAGTCGAAAAGTATGCGAAAATAATCACAAAGTCCTGGTTGCGTGATGGTAACGGTTTTGGGGAAGTCATCTACGGCCATGGGAATTCGGTAATGCACTTTAACCAAGTCGATTTTCAAAAATACACTTGTGGGTGCGGTGACGTGAATAATTTTGGTATTCAGTCGCCGATAATCACCATTTGGACGCCAGTCGTTGTTGTTTACTTTGGAGGCCATGTGTAAGGGAAATCTTCATGTGCTATTTGATGGACGAATTATCCCCAAGTCCATCATGTACTTGAATTCGTTTTTGCTCGACCTTAGCCTTTCAGGAGCCAATCAGTGAGCTTTCGAGAACACAGGTAGTTTTGTATTTGTGATTTTTAGTGTATTTTGGTCACGAGTGGTACAGTTCAAGGTACTTGTCCAGCGTCCGTTGAAGGTATGGATTGATCATGTGCTTAGCAGTGACCGGGGATAACCTACCAACAGAAAATGAAGTTCCACAAACAGTTAATTTAGTAATCCTATCCACTAACCTCCCTTTCCACGTGTCAATGAGTAGATTATTGTATTGCGGCACGTCTATATCAATGGTTGGCGTACAGAAATATACAACGATGAAAATACAGTGAACGGGTTTCCGTAAATCTACGTCAAAATGAACATACCGCTAACCGTATATCCCCACTTACCACCCATAAGTTCAAGAGTGGTTCATGCAGACGGTCGTTAGAATTTAATGGAAGAACGCTTACTTCTGCGTCAGTGCTAGAGAGGTAGTGGACTTTCATCACCATATCAGCGGTGTACAATAGACGTCTACTTCCGCCGGCTACGGTTGCTTACACAGGAGCTGTGCAAACAGGCCATCATCAAAGGTCCATTGACCAATGACCTCTCGCATACATAGCAACATTTCTGTTGCTGAATCGTACTGCAGCTCGATGTTGTAGAAGAGTTGGTCTAAACATTGTTGGTTGGTCAGGTCTTCACGATTAAGGATAACCTTCTTCAAAGTGTTGTAAGTTTCAGAAACATTAATTATCAACATAGCGAGTGTGACGTACCTGCTAGAATCGGGAGGTAATGCCCTCACTACTGCGAGGAATCTAGCACATGGGTCCGTCACGCCGTGCTCGCGGGAGTCAGCTTCTGCGTGGTAGAACCAGGCTTGCGTACTGCCATGACATTCTGGTATGACAGGTGGAAGGTGAAATAGTCGTAATCTTACATGACTTTGCTGTTTGTACTGTCATAATAACGATAAGATATACTAATGGGCGAAAACATGTCCGAAAATGTAAAACATTATTACTACATGCAAAACTAGAAATGATGTATAATTTCAGAGCAAGGAACAGAAGCACAGTTTACTGTCCGGTGTATCAGATCACGCTGAGCTCACCACCAAAGATGCCACAGCTATTCGCAGTTGGACAACGCATTTACATGCAACACTTTTATGATTGAAGCATATCAACCCAGTCAGATCAGATGTCCGAAGATATGTTTGAAAGGCTGTCGATATGTCGAGAAGCGTTTGGTCTAAGCTGGCTGTCGGTTGCAAGTGATGCGTAGCACGTGTACACATTCGTGATTTAGTGCGGATGAGTGACCGAGCTCCTCCATCTATGTGTGTCCAGTAGAACTAACGAGGTCAGAATCAATGTCGAGAAATCATGGAACTACTTGTTTTGAGGATTAATTTACCGCTACAGACTTCTTGGTTTGCCAAAACCTGTAAGTTTCATACCAGCCAAATGCGGGATAAAATGGATGAATGTAAGTGCGGTTTTTGTCTGTCTTCACAGCAAGGAATATGAAACATATGAGTTCACTTTCAGATCTTATTAGGACTATTTTCATCAGTGCATTGATAGGTTACACTCTACGGTGGTTCAAACCTGTGAACTAGTGAAAGATTGAACCTTATCTGTTTATTGATAGTGTACGTTTATATACGCATTCAATACACAAATACAGTAGCATTTTTTTGCTTGATTATTCTAGACGATGAATGGAGACCGAGGGTTGTAGGTTGTTGTAAAGTGGTATGACCAACTGATTTGGACGACCTTGTATGGTCGACCGTAACAAGTGGCGGGTCATTACATCTTGCATTCATGATTCTTTGGGCAAGGTGTCTGGGTAAAAGTAACGTCTTTCCACTAACGTAAGCTCCATTCAAGCTTTCTATATCAAAGCCGTAGATTTCCCTGCAGATGTAACGCCAATCGGGCAGTTTTATGCCGTACCAAACGACGAATATATGGACGTACATATCCAGTTAGCTTAGTTTATCCTAACGGTGGTTCGATCCGTATTAGATTTCATGAGCCTCGAATAATACTTCAGGTTAGTGCTCTTAAAATCATCATAAAGTATGTTTATGCGTTTCATCCTGAAATTCGTTTTCCGTTGTACAATTAAGTTAAACTTGAAAAAAATAGACAGTGATGTATAGTCGATAAGCTGTTACTTTCCATAGGTCCTGAGGTAACTGTCATCGCAGTAACCCCTTATCTTAGACCTCATATATCCTGTAATTAAAACTTAAAGCTAATACAGTTTCCAAACGTGCATCAATAAGATCCTATCAATTTCAATGAAAAGCCTGTGGTCATAAACTTTAAACGTAAACAACTTAGATAAGCACTTAAATGATCTTCAAAGTGTGCAGTAGTGTGTTATTTAACTTATAAAATTCTCTTTTACCAAGAGCCTGGCTTATAAGAATTCTAGTTGTGTTCTATGTACAATTAATTCACCTTTCGTATGTCTATTAAATAGTTGCACGAATATTGAAGATTACCAGACTTACTCGTATTCCAACTTAAATTTCAAGTGACATTTATGTGCTTGAAAAGCAAACTGTCTTAACAATCAAGTGTCTTCCAGTTCTTTACCTAAATGAATAGTACATTAGTTTGTAGTATTAAATGACTGTTATGGAGCATTGTAGACACCGTATTATTTTTCAACCTATTTTTTATTTACCATCGGGTTCTGTGTACGTGTAAATAGCCCAAGCTTTACACCAATACCAACCATGAATTTATAACCAAAAGTTGAAACTGAATAATCATTAGCGTAGAACTTGAAGTTCAGGCTGCAGTGATGTAAGTATTAACACATCATATAGTGAAACTCTCACAAAAGAGTAAACATCAGCTTCACCTTATAAATTTGTAAGCGTCCTGTCTTTCAGCAGTCCATAGAAAAATGACCAAAAACAGATCTAAGGTAAATGAACTAAAGAAAGCATTATTGACATAATTCTCATGATAAAATTGTTTATTCATTAAATAGCTAACAGGTCCTTGCACTAGCTGCTGAAAATCAATAAAATTGATATCTAACCTAAGAAAGTCTTCTGATGCAGTGTACTTCCCACTGACATGTGATTATGTATCTTAAAATATTGGCAATCGAAAATCAGAACTTTATTATTGAGTCACTACTAGAGATTTAGTATCAAGATTTAATTACATGCCCTCTGGTTGTCACTGTACCAATAACGCTAATGTGGGCGTGTGGTTTATAATTTGGAGTTATTTTCCTAAACCTTTGTAACATTATTGTAAAGCCTTGGGTTTTATTATCAAAACATTTAGTATTTGTTTCACTCAATCTTCCTCTTCAGATCCCCCCAGATTTAAATGACTGTTCTCCAGAAGAAAGACAGAAACGTCTTCTTAGACGCGCTCCTCAATCAAGGTTGACTTTGCAAGAACAAATAGAAGACACTTTTGACCAAGAAGCTTACAGTTTTCTGTTGAAGAAAAATTGATTCCTCACTCCCTGTACATAAACTTCAATTTTAGTAATAAATAATATTGATTTATCCTCTTTATTTCCCCATAAAATATGTATCATGTCGTATCTCGTGAGTGTTCTGAAGAACTACCTGATCAGTCTCTATATACATAAATATAATCTATCGTAGACCTGCCATATCTAAGTCAATTACTTTTAGGTATTTCTCTGGGTATACATAAGTCATGAATAATAAATATGACAGGAAAACCTGTACTATTTCATCCATTTCAGAATCGTTGTCCCAGGTAATAGCACGTTCACACCGAGTTATAATAATTATCTTGTTAAGGTTTTAAACGTAATACTCAAGCGTCTTTTCACATATTACATCCACTCTGCTTGCAGATGGAATTCAGCCAATCTTATGTCATTGGTTTTGTTTGCTAAGATAACAAACTTTTAGGAACATTTCTCCCGATTCAACTTACCAGGAGTCGATCTTGTATCAGGAGGTCCGCTTGTTAGCTTAAGATTCGCAGGTGATACAGTTCTGTTTGGTAAAGACTGACAAAATACGGTTTTCCGACCACTTTAAACAACAATACAATCATGTTTGGGATACGTTTCTCTCCAATGTTCATAGGTACGGCATGTGCTTTGCACCTTCGAGGTGCAAAGTATTTCTACAAGACTGGCAGGATTCTGAACCCTTACTCACTTTGGATGGTGAGCAGATAGAAGTAGTTGAGAAGTTCGTGTATCTGGGTAGCTGCATAAGTGCTAGTGGTGGCGTGAGTGATGAGATCAATGCACGTATGGTGAAAGCCAGAGCGGCTTATGCCAATCTTGGCCATCTTTGGCGCCTTCGTGATGTCATTCTGGCTGTAAAAGGTTGGATCTACAACGCGTCGGGAGAGCAGTTTTGCTCTATGCTTGTTAAACCTCGGAAGTTAAGTGCTACCACTGAATACGAATTCTCAACCGGCTACTCTGAAACCGCGCGTGTTATTCAAACTGACCTCACTTAACGTTCGCTCACGAATGCCGACTGGACAAGAGATAGGGTAGGCTATGTGTTAAGAAAGTCTCAACATTGATGTCTTTTATCTGTCTGGGGTCCTTATTCAAGACTCTAGTGAGGTGATACACGCTCGCTCTCCATTTGTCGCTTCGAAAGCTTGTTTCGTATGCGTTTATTTGGAGATTCTGTGTTATTTCCATCTGGTTTTGCTGGCGTTGGTGTCCCACTGAGCGCAAGAGCTGAAACAGAACTGGCCGATTGGATCCCTATTAATCTTCGGTTGTGTGCTGTTAGGTTAGAAAGTTCCATTAAAGGGAGAAGAAATGTGTATGGTAAACGATGATTTTGGCTATCTCTGCCTATACCCTGACATGTTGCTACCAAGATTCCACCAAAGATGACCTCCAGGAGGTGTGTTTGATTGATATTGCAGTACTAGCTGGAGATTTGAATGTTCAGGTCGGGTGTTTAGGCATAAAGGAGAGTCTTTTGTGTGGCTAATGGGGACTTGTTGGTTGCAGATCAGATTACGTTGACCGTCTATCACAACTTCGCACAGACTTGAGATGGTGGGTAATATTCAGAGCTCAGGTGGATAATTTAGTTTTGGTTGTGAAGGTTTCACTATTCGTCTGAACAACATTATCAATACAATTTAGTTTGAAAATTTTTGAAACAATGGTCCATTCCAATACTAGTACAGTTTGGACGTTTAAGGATGTTGTCTTGTAGTATTCATGATAGCAATCAGATCACACGGAGATTTTCATGATAAACACTTTGTCTAGGAACATTTTGTGCGTAATATTTCTAGTATTTACTCATCGAACATGTGGTTATAAAGATATGACAGGTGTAACGGTGAGGTCTTTCGACAGTCGATTTTCAAAGGTCATTTTTATTTTTATGAAATAATTTGATAAAGTGTGGTTAAATCTAGCGTAAAACTTCAGAAAATGAGTACTCATATTTGTATAATGTCATAGATTTCACACCAAATGGAGTGCTTACACTTCATTTTAAGTAGACCGAAGCAATATCTAGCTTTGGATATGATTTTAACTGGTAGACAAGCAAAGTAAATTTGGGATCAGACAGATGAGTACGGGATCGATAACAGTTGTTTTAATCTATATAGTTTGTTCTATAATTTCTCATGTTTACTATGTGAAAATAGGATTTAGTAATGTGACGTGACCCAAAATCGATAACTCTGTTACTCAGTCATCTACTGTTAACTCTGTATGAGATTTTAGACATACTATTATATGACCGTCACATAACATGCTTTGGCTATTTTTTTCTGATGGTGCTATCCGTCATCTTTATCGTCCGTCATATTGTTGTGGTGTTTGTTAATCTCAGTTCATTTAGTGCTGCAATATATCTGTATAATGTTTTGACAGAATTATGTTGGTGTTTGTACGAGGTACCGTTTTTAAAAAGGGACGTAATGATGTGACACGAGTGTGACAGTGATTTAATCTGAAGAAATTAAAAATTTACCGATTTCAAGCATGAGACTATATTTTTTTAGCAAATCTTATTCTCAAGTCTTAAATATCTGTAATCCAGCTATTCAGCGTCGATGCTTGTCATTTTCAAGTCTATTAAGTAATCAATTCATTCAATAGAGATAATTTTGTAAGCTTTTATTTGATTGACCTGTAATAATTCTAATGAATACTTGATTAAAATCTACTGTGATTACGTCATATGATTAAAGGCAAATACACCAAGTCAAAGAAATACACAGATGTATCTATGTACCTGTGTATTTACGTGATTGGATTTAACTAACAAATTAAACGCCTACATATATACATCGGTGCACTGATATATTAAGTAATTAAATGATCAATACTGTCACTTGATCAAACATTCTGAAAAGTATTAAATTTTACAAAAATTAGTCGTAGTTATGTATAGTCATAAATAATCAGTAATACCATGGATTATAGAAAACTGAGGATTATTCAATGAGAAGTACAGATAAATTCTTGCATTACCAATCAATTAAATTATTTCAACACAGATATTTACTTTTCACTCATTCCCTTTCTATTCAATGCCTGAATATATGAAGTTGACTTGTCGTACAGATTCACTCATTCAACCAGAATTCAATGGAACTAAAGAGAACAATGAATCTCCTTGCACTATTTTACTATCACCATCTTTATCATCAAAATCTTCTTCATACAAACATATATACTTAATCTATTCTATTTTAATATTTATTTTAGTAGTCATTATACCATTAATGTTAAAAATGACATTATATGGTGAACCAAGCTTTTATTCACTTTTCCCAATCTATTCAATACTTTTCTCATGTACAACAATATTTGAAGTAATCAAACGTCTTCGTACATTACAACATGAAATGAATGAAGACAATGCACCAGCGGAAGTGTATTTTTCTTGAAAAAAACTTCATAAATCAACATATGCCATATCTGTAAACTTCATAATTATGTACATTTTTTCATTCTATAGTATTTATTTATTGAATTCAATACTTTCAATATTCGATACGATTAAAATGCTTATTATAACCCCAGAATTGTCGTTTCCATCATCATGCTTACATGTACATCAAATCTCCAAATTGAAAAAATTCTCAATTTACTCTCTTTTCATTTTTTTGTTGTTGGAAAAAAATGGATAGTTTTTTGAGTAAATAAATGAAAAGCATTTATCTATTCAACCATTATTCAACTATTCAATAGATCAGATATTAGCGATATGTCTGTTGATTTAAACAAAACTAATACATTTATAATATAACGACGCTATATTCAGATTTATGTACCCATTTATTTCACTATTATATATGCTGAGATTCATTTATAAATTGTTCTTTCATGTTTTATCCAAAAACAGTCACATTTTGAATGCATAAAAGATAACCCATTTTGTTTTAATTCCTAATAACTAATTTTGTGGTAAGTTATATGTGATTATGTTGTTATCAGGATACATTATATATATATATAACAATAACAATTTCAATAATAAACTGATATTTGTTTGAAAAAAGTCATTGATGAGAGACCAACCAGTATGTTTTGGCATGGGACTTCACATTAAAGTACTAACAACTAATAATGGTTAGAATATTCAATAGATTGAACTGATGATTGATGTATTTTTCTTTTGTAATTGTCAGACACTGAAATGCTATTAACACTACAATCTAGATATCGAATTCTACAAAAAGAATATGTGATATAATGTACTAAAACTTCAATATGAATCCATCTCATCATGAAGAGTATGAAATGAACTGATTTTTTATTCAAATAATTTATTTATATAGATTGTAAAATATCGATTCTCACTGTAAGTAATTTGTAGAATCGAATGGCAGTTCTATGTGTATATATGCTAGTTTACAGTAGCTATTCATATAATATACCGTTTAAGCTATATATTTTAAAAATATTTTTCATAATCGATATGAAGGTTAGTGGCTTATGCTTAATTAAATAACTCCTTTTTAACACCATTATTTAATAGTTATTTTAACTGACTATTAGATATGCGTTGCATTCAAGTTTGTGTTGTAGAATGGTATATCTTAAATGATCATTGAAGGTTAGATCAACCTATCTGAATGATAACCCATTGCTTACTAGTTAATGAACGCTGAAAAGATTCGTTTACTTAACATTTTCTACAAACTGATATGAAATTGGGGGGTAGGGGTAGCACGTTCTTCAACGAATAGACGTGAAAATTGTCATCTAGCCTTAATTATGTAAGCGCTTCTTTTTTATTGAAGAAAGAGGTACTGATATTTCCACTTGTTAACCCAAATAGTTCGAAGTGTGTAGTATTTCTGAGAGTTTTAAACTCAGCTGAAGCAGCTATCAATTGCTTCTTGATCCCAATAAAATTGATAATAACATAATAAACTAATAAGTTTTGACTTGAAATATTTCCTATCGATTGCCATTTTTTTCCAATTAGCTGATTGTAGTACAGGAATTCCATCAACTGGAAATTAAGAATTGTACCACTTTTTTATTAGTTTGGCCAAATTAAAACAGTACATAAA